TTTTTTTTTTTGCCAAAACGGCTTTTCAACCCCACCAATTATTCCTCCATCCACTTTATTCTTTTTTTTTTTCAACTATGAGACATATAAACCCAAACTTTCAACTTCAAGTCCCCAAACATAATTAACATTGATTAAAGCAATCACAAGCACATCTCACCAATACAAATCGCCTCAAAACCAACTCACCACAAATGAATCACAAAAATATCAACCATCATGCCTTTGTCCCCAAAATAAAAACACTTTAAGAATTTAACCGAATAAAATTAACTCAAGCTATTTAAAATAGCACAATAAATCCACACCGACTCTCATGTCATCATTGCAAAATTCCACGTACATGCAATCTCATGCTCACACAGGACAACATCATGAAAATAATCTAAGACTCAAACTCTAACGGGCATAAATATAATCACATAATAAACATGAATGCTCACCAAAAAATCACCTCCCCAAACTTAGAGTTCGCATATATCATTGACACTCAAGTAAAATCAAAAGAATAAAAACAGAGATAAAAAAAACGAGTTCACCTTAGTCAATGCGAAGAAGGTCGACCGAACCACGCACACTATTGGGTTGCCTCCCAAAAAGTGCCTCTTTTTATTGTCGTTGGCCCGACTTATTACTCTTTTTCATCAAATGGTCCATGGTGGCTTCCGAGGTGGCCTCAAGGGAGCCACAAATCTCACCACACAATGCATGACGAATTCCCTACTCTCCGATGTTGGATGCTTCACCGGATCTTTCCTCCATGGAGCTGGTCCCTCAAAAATATGTAGCAGCCCGTGCTCAATCACGGTCATCGTCTCATTAAACTCCCACTCACACCTTTCGTTCGGCTCGTTCGTCTCAAGGGGCTGGATATTAAGGCTCAAGACATGCTTCAGTGCATCTTTACTCAGTACCCACTTCATATTGGAAGAGATAAAATAAGGTTCAGCTTCTATCAACACAAGAGCGGGGAGAACGGTACGCTTTTCGACTCCAGTAGGTCCAGTACGGGGTACAACAGGCAGAGTATAGGGCTCCCCCGTACTGGGCTGTTTTGACTCCGGTTTCTCTATATTCGTGATTTTTTCATTCTCTGGCTCGTATGTGCACTCTTCAGGTTCCTCGAGGTCCTCGCTAAATGAATGGGTGACGCTTGATCTCATTGGACTCGTTACGAGTCGATATACTAGTCGGTCCATTTGTTCCGTCAATTGGCTCATTTGCCCTTGTAAATTCCTTATGCGCAAGCCTTGGTTCTCGATGCTCATCTCTTGGCTCTTGATGCTCGCCTCAACACTTTGCTGAAAGTTAAGGGTGTGAGCAGTCAACTCCAACATCATATCCTCGAGCGATGGACCAGAATCTCTTTCAATTAATGGCTCGCAGAACTCTTGCCGAAATCTCAACGTGTTCAATGTAAATGCCTCTATAATATCCTCCAGCGACGGGCTAGGATCTCGCGCAATTGGTGGCTCGGAGTACCCATGAAAAGAGTTCGAGTGCTCTCCCAAGCGGTATCCATACTCATCGATATAAAAGTAGTCTTGCTCGTTCCTTCGCCAACCACTAGGTCCTCTTACGCTTTGATCTCCAATCCACGGACCTCGTATCTCCCTCTCATACTGGTAAGGTGCCTGATGAGAATAAAAATCGTGATAATAGGCTGCCATTCTCGAAAAGTTGCGCCAAGCTCGCTAAAATCGCCCAAAGATTAGTCAATCCCGCGAGTATGGGGTCGAACTAGTCTGTCCAGCGGAGTATGGGGGCGCCCAGTATTCTGCAAGAAAACAAAAAAACAAAGAAAAAGAGGGGGGTAAAATATGATAAAAATAAAATCCTAAAAACAATAAAATAAAATAATTCAATTAGTACTCAAAATTCACAATTCAATAACGACACTCCCCGGCAACGGCGCCAAAATTTGACCGCGCGTCGCAACGCGGCAAAATTAAAATTTATATTTTCCTCGACCAACCTCTACTAGCTAGTAGTAGCGGCGAGTAAGGGTCGAACCCACAGGGAGTGCGAATCAAATTGTGAATTTCTCGTAATAATTGAAATAATGAAAAGCGATAAATGGGGAGGTTTTGTGATTTAATAGCTAAACTAACCAAAATAAATAAAATCTAAACAATGAAAATAAAAATAAAATGAAATAAATAAGAGAATTTTCTAGTTCACGGTTCCGTCTACACCCTCGACTGACTCGTCTAATCAACTTCGGTATCAAATCTCGCTATCTGATAGAATTACTAGCCCTAGGCAATGACACGGTCTGTTACCCGAATTTTTCCTTATTTTTAATCTAACCGCGAGACGCTCTACGATTAAATCTGACCTCTTGAACAGTTTAGGAAACGCTTTCTAAATTTAATTCAATTAGCCGCTTTACGATTTAGAAAAATAGGCTAGACTAAGTAGCGAAATTTTCATTCACTTAATTAGGCCGTGTTATCCCCGGTAGTAACCGTCTTCCGGTAGCCACTTACGAATTAAACACTTCAACAATTACGGATTAAAGGTCTAATTCAGCTGTAGATATGAAAAGCCTAATCTAGGTGATCAATCTAAATAAGCCTCACACATCATGGTTAATTATTCAAAATAGCACAAACAATTCCAAAAAGGTATTGAGATTATCAACCAAAATGAATCAAACATAGTCAATCTTAGGGTTCGACTTTCCCGGAACTAGAAAGAAAAACTAGCCTAACATAATAAATAATAAAAAGGAAAAGATAGATAAAAGAGATAGATTAATTATCTCCCTCGTGTACGGGTGCGGCTTCCCTCCGCAATTTGTCGGGCTCTCGTGTTCTGTTCTCTTCTCGCGTCTCTGTTCTCTTTGTGATTGGCGGCTTTGTTTTCTTCTGCTGTTATGCGTGGCTATCTCCCACAGTCTGCGTGAATTATAGGGGTTGCTCCCCAAAACCTCCTCGTATTGCGTGGCTTATTGCAAATATATCCACTTGGTTTAATAAATAAAGTGGGCCTCCAAATTTCTCCCAAAAGGTTGCGTGAGTGCTTTATTTCCCCCGGTGGCTCTCTTTCATTTATTTCCCAATCAAATTATTTCCTTTGTAGCCCAAACTTTATTTGGCCCAATTGTATTCATGACCTGGCCCGCATTACGTGAATTGCAGGGGCTTCACTGCTCTATTGGACGTCTGAGTATGGGGTGTTGTTGGGTCAGCACGGGACATCCCCATACTCTGCTGAAAAACTTTCTTCATCCTTCTTCGTGCATCCATACATCATCGTGCAATCAGAAATAGTCCCAAAACTGCTGAAAATAGATTATAAAATATCAAAGTACAAGAATCCATCTAACAAATAAATAAGTCGAAAGACATATAAGTGCGACAAAATTAAGCATATAAAAATACGCTAATAATATATAATATACACACTTTTTTCGACCAATCAGCAACAGTAGCAACGAGAGGGGAAGGAGAACCCCCTCGCCTTCATCACAGTATCAATCGGTAGACGTCGCAAAAGGAGGCGCCGTAGGAAAATGGAGATAGTCGGGGTAAGTAGGTCGGTCCAGATAGCCCCGATCGAAGAGAAGGTTAGGCCGGTCACCCAACCGTACTTCCCCCAAGCCAAGGTCGTAGAGAATGCACCCGAAAATGAAAAGATTTAATAGTTACAGTAAAGGCTCTTTCCAAAGAATTGCTAGTCCCCCCACTTTTTTCTCCGACCCTCCTCAAAATTAGTACGGAAGGACAAAACATAGGTACAGACAAAGTCTTTGGCTATACACTCAACTGTACACAAACACAAGAGTGATGCCGATTGTGTCGATACATATGCTTCCATCATTCGCAACTAATTTTGCACGAATAAAGACAACAATGTGTATTATAAGTTACAACTATTCAAGTTGGTTGATTACGATCCATCATCAAACCAAACTTCAGAGAACCCAAATATTTGAATAAATAGATTTTGAGTACTTGAGCAAGAGAGTCCGAGTTGAATTCAATTAGCAATTTGAAATGTTAAATCCAACTCGAGTACAATTAATTATTGAAGAACGCGCAGCCTGCGAACTAGCCGGCTCTACCCCTTTCTTGATTTTTTATTTATTTTTTTTTTTTTCATTTACAAATATCACACCGTACCTTCTTCAAGTTGGAACAAAGTAGGCCAAATTTCAATAATGACTAACGCAGTTTCCAGTTTAAACAAAAAAACACAGAGGCAATAACAACCAGACAAACGCTAAACCAAAGGCAGATAACACACTTTTAACATACTCCTAAAATCCTAATACCTCCATGACGAGGTGGCAAGGATGGGTCTGTCGTGCCAGCACAGCAGCATCTCGGCCTGCCGCCTGGCCACATGGAACCCCCTCACCTGCGCCCTCCTCAGCAGGCACTCCGCCTGAAACTCCGCAAACTGGCTGGGCCCCACCTGCCTGAGCCCCACCGCCAGCAGCGCCTCCCTCCACCACGTCCCCCTCCGCCCTGCCGCCTCCAATATCCTCGGGTACACCACGCACCTCTCTATCCGCCTCATCCACTCCCCGTCGAGGTTTGTTGCCTCGAGAGACTCCAGGACGGTCGAGTACAACTCCAGCCCGTCTATCACCGCCTGCCTGTGCGACCCTGTCCCAGACTCCACGTTCCCCTCCACCCCCACGTGCACCACCACGTGCCCCGCTATCCCACGCAGATCCCCCAAAAACCGAGTCCCCACTCGCCGGAAAACTGCAGGGGAAAGCAGAACGGCCACCCTCTCCCCGTCTGCCACCTTGTTCACCGCCTTCAGGGACAGGTACTCGAATGTTCCGATTGAGACGAACTCGATCTCAAATCTGATGCTCAGCTCGCGCGCAAACTGTGTCAGGTTGTCACGAATCAGCCGGGGCTCGTTCACGTACTCGTCAGGGACGACCGCCGACACTCTCACCCGTGTGGCCCGACCCGAACCGGGTCTTTCGGCCACTTCCTTCATGAAGGATGCCCAGTGGGCCCCGAGCCCGATCTCGAAATCGATGACGTGGATGCTGTTCGAGCCGTCCAGCGCCTCGAGCACCGCCTGGTTGGCCGTGAATCCGGAGAAGAGCGGAATCGGGGACACGGCGGAGAAGGTTTTCTGGGCCTTGATTGTCTGAACGATTTCTGACGAGTTGGCCGGTTGAGCAGCCCGGGTTGACCCGGTGACCAAGGACTGGAGGGCCTCCTTGAAGTAGAAGGCGGCTCTCTGAAGAGGCTTCCCTGTGGGGGAGATGAGGCGTTGGTTGAGCCGCGCCAGTATCACGTGCCCGAGCTGGACCGAGTTGGTGTCGAAGCACTCGGCGAGCCGGATCAACTCGTCCACGTAGTCATAGCCCACATAGTCCTCCTCCAATGAGTTTATGGCACCCACGGTGTACGTGGAGATGTCTGGGAGAAGGCCGAGGGGATCAACGGCCGGGACGAACTGAGCCGAGTCAAGGGGGTTGACGACAGGTGGTGGTGGCAAGTCGGTGTGAGTTGAGTACTGAGTCAGGTCGAGTTGAGCGTCCGAGTGAGTGACGGGTTTGGTGAGAGGGGCAGAATCGTCGTGCAGGCCCAATTCTCTCATCAGAGAATCCCAATCGTCAATTTGCTGGTTGATCAGCGCATGATCCGCTAAGGGGTCTGGTACTATTTCTGGGGCGGGCTTTTCGGAGACCGGGCTTGGGCTTCGGCGGAGGTCAAGGACGGATTTGGGCTCGTAAGTGGCGGCGGCGGCGGCGGTAGTGGTGGTGGCTGTGATGGTGGAAGTGAGTGGCTTGGGGTTTTGGGTGTTTGCAGGGAAGGGTACTTTCATTTCTTGAAGATATTAGAGAGGGGAATTATTTAAGTGAAAAGAGAGAGAGTAAATGCGTACTGAGAAGGATGAATGGTGGAAAATGGGAAGGGAAGGAGCTTTTTATGGGGCGATGGACATATGATGATGGCAAGCTTTTTCTCATCTTTACGTGAAGGTGGGGGCAAGGGGCGACATGATGAGTGCAACTGTGGAAGGTATGATCTTGTTAAAACCATTCTAATCTAACTTAAATTTAACCCAATTCACTATTCTCGATATTATTAATAAATATTATTAGTCGGATTTCCTAACTTTTAATCCAACCATATTGTACTCTCGGGAACGTTGTACTAGAACCACGTGAATAAGGTTTTCAACATCTTAAATACTCAAAGTTTTTAAGAATGAGAATCGCCAAAGCAATGAGGCGGAGGATCATGGGTCGGACCAAGACCAACAACTGGAGAAACCTGATGAAAAACGATTAGAACAACAACTTGTATAATTGATCGAGCATACGTCGATCAAAGACAGTAACCATGAAATTACCAACATGGACTGGGATGTGAAGGTAGACGATCTTAATAATGAAAACACAATATACATTCACTTTTTTTTTTTGTTATACATAGTGGTAGGGACGTGGATGCATTTTTTTGGACTTCATCCATGTCGTATTTATATTGATATTTATCATTTTAAGTTGTCTCATAATCATTTATGTAATATTTATTGATACATGTCATTTAAACTTTCAAGACATGCAGAAATGAAAATTTGAACGACATGTTTGCTTCGGAAAATGCGAGTTATTAGAATATGCGTTTAGTAGCCGAAACATAATACACAAAATTTATTTATTTACTTGAATTTTTATTCTGGTAATTTTGTAATTAATTGATTATTACAAGAAAGTTATTCTGCCGTACATTATTCACATAAAAAAAAATTTGAAGCGTTACGACAGACTACCGAACAACTACGAATATTGAATCGTAGAAAAGACTTATAATATAGGAACACTAAACGATTTATCGCACTTGTTTTTTAGTTCTTCACCATTATTTCATTTAAAAAATTTCCCTTCGAACTGTGTCGCTAATTTTGTTGGAAAATCTATGTTGCCAGACATTAATGGTTCATTATCCATGCAAAATATTGTTTTTAACACATGAATCATGATTAAACACATACTTGACACGAGAAAAATAATCGTTGTTAGTGCAGTCCTCCAAGTCCTAAAAAATAAGACAAAGAATTTAAATTGATTTAATGTAGTTTTCCAATTTTTCTGATGGATTCCTGGGGTCGAGATCAATGACTTTCACCTGCAGTAGTAGAGGATGGATTTGATCATCACCGTCATCGTCTGCACCATCATCGCTATGTCGGCCACCCAGATTGGGTCATCAACAGAAGAACCAGGGCCAGTCATCTAAGTCGATCGTTGTTGCTTTGCACTCATTAAATACCTCTAATCACTCACGATACCAAGGAAATCTGTACCAACGGAAAATCGCATCGGCTCCTCTTGTGCATTAAATTTAAATATTTAATACTTCAGGGTTTTATGACCGCATTGCAAAATGCATGAACAAACTAAAAAAAAAAAAAAAATAAAAAAATTACCTCTCCCACATACAACAAATACATGTGGTTAAAACTAACAACGCCAGTATCACCAGGCACTCGGACTCTTGGAGTGAACAAGAAACTTGAAATTTCACTGAAGTAATTTTTGATACGATGAATCTTTCTCCAGACTTGGGCAATAGAATAGTTTTTCTTTAAGGCATAACTTAACATGCAATTAAGAGAACTTGCAAATTCAGACCACAAATAATAAAATAAAGGGCCTTGGTGTATTTCTGCCTTCTCACAACACTTCTTGAAAAATACTTGGCAGCAAGCATCTTCCTCACTCTCAGTCCACTCCACGACACGAAAGTGTATTGCGATCTTCTTATTGCGTGACATCCTATCCATATTTTCGTAAGCATGCCTAGTTTTATATTTTCTAATATCTAAATATCCTACTCTTGCTAGGGTTTTTTTATTTGTTTTTTGTTTTAAGAAGTAAAAGGTTAGCAAGAAAATCTTACAATTCATGAGTAGTAAAAATGGTGGTACATATACATCGACAACTAATGTAAGTACATGCCATTTGTCTAAGTTTTTTACATGAAAAATTAGAAAATTAATGTGGTGCATAAACTATGCAAATAATATACTAAACATTTTCTTACAATAAGCAATTCATGATATGGATCAACGAATAAAAGGCAGATAGTTTTAAATTATGCAATTTTCAATTTGGACGGGCATTCTATTCTTGAATATGGGAATATATTACTCAAAATCGTTATTTATTCGACGTTATAGATTCAGATATGCGAGTCATAAACTATGCAACAAATAAATTTTCAATTTGGACAGGCGTTTTATTCTTGAATATGGGAATATATTACTCAAAATCGTTGTTTATTCGACGTTATAGATTCAGATATGCGAGTCATATACTATGCAAACATTTGTTGCATAATCATAAATTTGCAGCGTTCAATCTGAATATGTAAAAACAGAATATGCGAAATGTTATCGCATATGGTAAATTAATTGGATATTTGAGTCGTAAGCTATGCCAAAATATGTCGTATAACATAAAATATGCAACGTTCTATTTGGATATGTGATTCTTGAATATGCAAAAAGTTATTGCATATGGTAATTTATGCAGCGTTATATATTTGGATATGCGAGTCGTAAATCATGCGAAAACATATCTCATAACATAAAATTTGTGACATTTGATATGGAAATGAGATGACTATACGAATGTTATCACATATGGTAAATTAAACGGCGGGTTTATATATGCGATTCGTAAACTATGCGAAAAAAATGTCGCATAATCATAAATTATGTGACGTTTGATTTGATTATGCAAATAGAATATGCAAAACGTTATCTCATATGGTAAATAACGCGGTAGATTTGATATGCGAGTCAACTAAGCGAAATCATGTCGCATAATCATAAAATATGTGACTATTAATTTTGAATATCCAATAATTGTATATGCAAAATAGTTTCGCATACTGTACGGTGGATTGGATATGTGATTACAACATATACAGAAATATTTCACATAATATTGAACCATCTGTCCGATTTGGATATGTATTGGTATATATTCGATAGTATCTCACATAATTGTTAATTATGTTGTTTATATGGATATGCAATTATTATATCGTATATAATTTCTTGAGTTGTGGATCGAAAAAGATTTTTTTTAATGGGACAATGTGTAAAAAAAGGTGCATGTACATATTGAGGTGTAAAAGAAATTTTCCTTAAATTATATATAACAAAACATATTTTATTAAATATTTTGATAATTTGAAACATGCAATTGTGTTAGCTAATTAATATAATAATTTATATATATTCAAAATATTTCAATATATGTGTTTTATTTACATTAAAACATATTTAAAATATTAAAACTAAATTTGTAAGAAAAAAAAAAACAAGAGCCGGTTCGAGCAACTAATTTTCGACTGATTTAACTAGCCAAAGATCGGTTGTTGATTGGTTCTTTAAAATATATTTTTTTCATGAGAACTAGACTTGTAAAAGGGTGTTAGGATATAAATCTAATGGAGTCTTGATTAGAATTTTTATTTTTTTTATTATTTTTTTTTTAACTAGAGTTAATCTTGAAAATGTAGGTTGGATTAGGATTGTAACGCCCAGAATATTATTTACTATTTATGGAGCTCGACTTTATTTCTATAAATAGCCAGTTTCCTATTTGAGGCATTTATTATTATTATTTGCATTAAATTGAGTAATTAGTATTAAGTCTAAGACATGGAAAATTTATTCGATTTTAATTATTAAAGTCAGATTTATTTAGCTCAAGTATCGGTTACATTTTTAAAATCGAGCCTTGGAATGATCGGAATTTTATTAAAGCGAACCGAAGCCGAATAATTAATTTATTCGAGCCTAATCACTTTCGAGTCCAATTATTCTAGTCGGCCCATTTAAGTTAATCGAGTCTATGTTCGATTTTTTTGGACCATTTCATTTTAGTAAATCGAGTCCATGTTTGATTTTATTTTAGTCCATTTTAAAATCGAGCCTATGTCGATTTTTAAATCCGAGCCCAATTATTTTAGTAAAGTCGGCCGACTAAATTAATTTAGTCTAAGTCTCGTTATAGTTTAAAATTATTCGAACAATTTATTTTAAGCCAATCAAATGTTCGGTTGTTATCTAGCCCAATTACATAGCCGATTTTAGAGCCCGTGTGTTAGTAATTTTAGAGGAAATTACTTGGCGCACTCTAAGTTACCAACTTTATTACATTATTACAATTCATGTATAATTAATTGCAGAGAAAGTAAAGTTATATATTCTATTTGCAAACATGCCAGAAAATTAATGTACAAGTTAATTCCAAGATAAATTTGGTAACAACATATTTTTAAGTTATTATCAATTAAACAAAAGCCGAATCCACAAATTAAGGGATAACTCCCAAACGTGATCGTCACCTTCCCAAGGGTCTTCGCCCATCTTCTTCATCAGATCTGTTCATCAAAATCTGAGAATTGGATTTGCTTTCGTCGGTTACGAACAACTTTAATATCTGGGAATTTGATTCCAGAATTTGATATACGAATTCAAAATAATTTGGAATTAACTTTCATTTTTGTTCGTCTGTAACCATCACCCTTCTCTGATTGACCTCGTCGTCTCCGATCTGACGTCAACCATCATGGCGATTTTCTTCAGGCTAGCCGTCGGTCTTGCGCGGCTAAGCGCCGCTGCCACTGGGCAGCCCCGTCGCGCGGCTGTTGATGGCCCTCGTCGCCTGACCCAGGCTCCAAGATGGAGGGTCGCTCTGGGAGTGAACAACCGTTGATCCCCGTGTCATCGGACGCGGGAAATCTGAGCTTGGAGCTCGGTCCGCCATTAATGGCGGGCGCATACAAAAAAAAAAAAAA